CTAACGGGGATGCAAAAGAACAGAAGGGAGGGACAAGTCAGGAGATCATGCAGAACTCTATCTCTTTCCATGAAGATATTCGCAGGAGAGAAAATCAGATGATCAAGCAAGCGCTGCTCGCTAACTTAGCATATGTAGAGTTGGAATTGGAAAATCCTGAGAAGGCCTTGTCAAATGCAAGGTCGCTCTTGGAACTTCCAGTATGTTCGAGAATTTATATTTTTCTGGGTCATGTGTATGCAGCTGAGGCTCTCTGCTTGCTGAACAAGCCCAAGGAAGCTGCTGAGCATTTGTCAGTTTATTTGTCCGGAGGAAATAATGTGGAGTTGCCCTTCAGCCAGGATGACTATGAGCAATGGCGAGTGGAAAAAGCTTTTGATTACGACGAGTTAAATGGAGGATCAATCAGTGCAAAGAATTCCTCCCCTGATGAATCACAAGGTATCGTGTTCCTCAATCCTGAAGAGGCACGCGGAACCCTTTACGCAAATTTTGCAGCCATGTATGCAGCACAGGGTGATCTTGAGCGAGCCCAGCATTTCGCGACACAAGCCTTATCCCTCATACCTAATCGTCCAGAAGCTACTCTGACAGCAGTTTACGTTGATCTTATGCTCGGTAACTCACAGGCAGTGGTTGCCAAGTTAAAACAATGTAGTCGGCTCAGATTTCTCCCAAGTGATGTACAATTGAATAAGTGTTGATGGTTGTATCATTGGCTTTTCATTCTTGTATGGCCCACATCTCAGTTCTAGTTAGCAGGTAGATCAGCAATCCTTCAATAGGATCTGTAACATATATATAGCCCGATTCAGAGAATAAGTTTTTCAGTTCATTTTGCCTTAATTTTTGATACTTAGGGTTCACTAATTGGTGCGGCTGAGTGTTTTGGATAGAGTCGGATGCCCACGTTTGGAATTAATGTCGTGCTCATCCAGACCAAAAACAGAAGAAAAGGAATTGATTCATCGATTTCTTTCATGTTTCCTTGCTCCATGGGTGCTTTTCATTCTTGCAATGCAAAATGATTTCGTCTGCCATCTGTTTGTATCTTTGCTACAAAGTACAGTGGAAAATGAAAAGGTTTTATCATCTCTCAAGGCTACCATCTCAAGCGTCTTGCCACTACTGCAAGAATTTATAATTGCTTCTCCTTATCTCACTGCAACTCTCTTAACACCACTAACCGCCACTTCATCTCCTTCCTTTATTGTTCATGGATGTGTTATTATTAAAACAATTATTATTTCATCACTTCACCATCAAGATAGCATCAGAAGTTCTAAAACCATAACCGTCATTCATCATTAATCACCGTGTCCGCCGCTACCACTATGGAGAAATGTTTTCTTTCCTTGTACATTCAAATGCGATAGTTAACTTATTCTATAGAAATATATTTTCTTAGAAGAATAATTTTTGCAAAATAAAAGTAACCTTAATCTCTAATCAACTTCAACGTTTAAGGTGGTATGGTGTAGTTGGCGTTCAAGGAGGCTGTTGCCATCCATTCCCCTCAAGTTTGTTCTGTCCATTTGTGCCTCAAACATGTGGATTGCTTTCTTATCAGTATCATGTGGTTATATGCGAAATAAAGCATGCTTGAACCCTGGATCTTAGGTTTTGGAACAACACCACCAAACCACCAAGATCCAAAGAGCATATTGGATGTTCTAAACAGGTGTTCATCCAGAATAACCGAAATATTTCATACTAATTCAAAAAACATAACAAAATAGAATAATTTTCATCTCATTTTAAATCCCGGTTCGTTCCGGATGTTTCAGCTAAATTTTGGCCGGAATGTTTTGGTTTCATTTCACATGTTCCGTTTCGCTCTTAAAAAGCCATTGAATCAAATTGAATCTTATTCAATTTTATTAATTAAATCATCTAAGTATAAAAAGTTTTTTTTCTTTGCTATTTTTAATAACAATGATATTGATAATAATATTAAAAATTATTATTATTATTTTCATTAACAATAATATTAATTTTTTAAAATTAGATTTATCACTAATATATATGGTTTATATTCATGTTTTTTTTTTTTTCATATTTATACTTTGTAGGAATTTGAGCAAAATAAGGGATGATTTAGATTCCATTAGCCTTGATAACAATAACCTAACTTTTATATTTAAAATATTTGTATTAAAATATTTTATTTTCATAATATTTTGATATTTTATTTAAGTTAAATTACTTCAAGTTAAACATCTATTTAATCTTAACTATTTAGAAATTTTTAAATTTTTAAAATTATTTTTGTTTGGCATTGTGCTTGTACTACATAATTTATAATTAATTTATCTTAAATTTAAATTATGTTTGTTGAATACACACACAAACAATACAATCTCAAAATAACACATCAAAATATTCCAAAACTAAAACATTTTATTCTAATTAAAAAAATACCTATCAAAACAGAATTCACAACCTTAGTTGATATACAGCATACCCGCACAAAAAAGCACATATAGCAGCCAAATCTGTTTGTTCGAAAGACAGGATCCATGTTCCTTGCACGTTGGCCATTCGAAAGGCTGAAACCTGATCCAGGAACGAGCTTACATGTATATACTTGTAGGGATGAAGCTTTTTATTTACCACCCAACAAAAACAAACCATTGAACATAGTTATTAGACAAGGCACTAATCTAACCCAATTTAGAGCCTGAATAATCGTGTTATTGAGTTAATTTGTGGGTTATTGATTTATTTTTAGTTTAGTTTTTTATTTAAGTTCTTTGATTTTAACTCGTTCAGTTAATCCACTGAGTTAATCCAGTTGTAAATTAATTTGTTGGGCATCTACTAAATTCAGCAAGAACAATGTAAAAAACAGATTAAAATAAAATACAACACGAATTAGTCTCCAAATTATCAGAACACAGGGCCAACTGGTCAGGCAGATTGTCTAGGTTTAACAACAACCATGCCATAAACTTGTCTTGGTTGAAAATATTGTGGTGGATAGGTGGTTAAGCACGCAGATACAGAGTTCAGAAAAGAATCCAAATAATAATTTCAATATGCATGTGAACCTATCCTATCTTGATTTCATAGTATTGAACTCCTCCGATTCTAAGTCACAGACATAATTTCTAAGATAAATATTTACGGAATCTTATTGGAAGAAAGCCTGTCTCCCGACGTGGCCCATATTGTTTGCATAATTGAGCTGTGAGGCAGACGAGGCTGTCAAATAGGTTGACTTAGTTAAGAGAATTGTGATATAGTCTTGGAATTCAAAGAGAAAAAAGATTACTCCAATTGTGTTTGTTTAACTTAATAACAACAACGACAACAATAAAAGATAATAACCCTCCTATCATAAGCACGATTTTAGTTCAGTCTTGGAGGAATTGTTTATAATTAGGGTTTCATTCTATAAAAAATCTTCAATCTGAGTCTTTTCATCTAATTAAAATTAATATATTAATTTTTTACAAAAAAATAGTTGAGATATCTAAAAAAAAAACAATTCACGCAATTTGATTACATATATAGAATTAGATACACACGCACACACAAATATATAATTTGGTTATCTCTGTAAAGAAGAAAGACTAGATACACCAAGGAATCTCCTAGTTTCCGGATAGGAGCCCCCATCAACAGATGCCATACATTTATCTGGAGAAGAGAAGACAAAGTAAGTTCATGTGCATTGCTTAAGGTGGTCCCTGGGTAGCTAATAATGATCATATGTGAGAATTTTATACAATTTTCATGCCTACATGGAGATCTCAGAATAGCTAGGCAAGAGATAAGAAGAATTTCACTCTTATATCTACGGCATCTAAAACCAGTTCATAACAAAAAAAAAAAAAAACAGCTTGTTTGCGATTTGCTTTTCCCACAGGGTGATTCCTTGTCCTTGATGGACCCCTCATCAACGTAGCTAGTTTTTCATATAATAGGTTCGTGCCACACCAACTCTTTAGGATATTTGACTGATTATCTATCTGCTTTACATCATGTCATGTGGTATCAGATCAATGAGCTGACGGCAACTATACCAATGATTAATTAGCCTTAATCGTTTTTAATGCATGATTACTGTTCTGCGGCAGAAAAAACGAAGATAATCAGAACTAAAAAGACTTCTTTTTTTTTTGGGGGGTTTTAAAAAGAGAGAAATTCATTTCAAAACTATTTTAAAAACATATTAATTTATTTATATTCCTATTTTTATTTCTCTAACTAAACACACGATTTTATCTTTTGAAACACTAACCAAACATGATCTCATTTCTTTCTTTGTGGGGTTAGAAGGGAACCTTTTAACGGGTTTCCTCTCTCTTGATCGAGATTAATTATTATAACGCCGACATGATCAATAAGCATCCATGTCCTTTTGTAATCTCTATATTTAAATTTAATACTACTTTCATCTATATTCTAGAATTATCCTTCAATCATATATTCATAAGATATGTTGCTTTCAAGTCTATCAAAAACAGAAGAAGAAAAAGGGTAAAAGAAACCATTCATTCACGTTCAAGAGTATGTTTAGAAAGCAGTCTCCCATAATTACCTAAAGTTTAGTTGTGAGAGGAAATTGAATAGACTAGCCCATTGGAATTCTGAAAAACCAGCACCTTTCCCCTTCCCATCTCTATCTATTGGCAAAAGAAAGTATAACACTATCATCTTCTCCTTTGATTATCCCTCTCCCTATTAATGGCTTCTAACGCACGGTTGGATTTGAAGTAGTGGAGACTTTCAAGTTGAAATTCTTAAATTATTAATTAATTAAAATGGAAAAAATATTAATTGTTTAAAATACTAAGAATAAAGAAATTATATTGTGAATTCATATCTTTTAATATGAAAAATAAAATTCTTAAGCAATTTATTAATTATAAGTAAGTCGGATTACTGGAAAATTAATTATTTGGAATTTCCATGTGTCATGGAATATGTGCAATTAATAACTCGCATTGGCTACCTAAATGTACTAATGAAAGAGAAGAGATGCACAAAACAAATGGCTATCTAACAAATTGAGAACCCAATAAGATCTTAAATTGAGAGAGAAACATAGTTGATAGCTTCTTGTCTAATAGACAAACCATACATAAAGCATTAATCTTAAAGAAGGAAAAAAAATAAATGGTGTCCAATATTGACCAAGAGAGAAAGGAAGAGGGCTCGACATCCTCTCATGTCGAATCTTTCATCCATGGATGATCAGCTAGCTAGTCTGCACATACACACATATATAGATATATCATGAGCCAATTCTTGTCATTATTCACAACTTAGATATGTAAAAACATTATAAAGCAGAAGAATCCAGAAAAAAAGAAAAAAAAACTTTTTTTTTTTAATATTTAGGTGTCTCCACTAATTGAAATTGACCATCAAGTTACAGTCACGACAATATTACGAGGATACATGAGAGCCCATCTTGTTAATTCTTTGTTAATTTGATAATTAGCAACTAAGTTTATTCATCCGATTGATTTTTTGGGGCATGCAAATAATATGAAGATTGTTTGCACTTCGCAATGTAGAATGATGTTTTTCTTAATAATATTTTAAAAAATATTAGTTTTTTTATTAAGAGAAATTAAATATGATGTTTTGGTTTTAAATCTTCCAATTATCCTTGCGGTGCATGTTCTATGGATTACTTTTGCGACATGCATATAAACATTTAAAATGATATTGTTTTGAGATTTTTTTTTAAATTAAAATAATATTATTTTAAATTAAAAAATTAAAATTAAGTTTGATTAGGTTAAATCACTCGGGCTTAATCATGTCAACTTTTATTTGATTTGTATAAACTAAACCCAACTTAAGTCCTGGATTATTTCCCGGGATTAATATCCTGATTTCAAAATTAAGAAATTAAAATGCATTAACATGCAAACACTAGTAGCTAACTCAAGGTATTGAGTTTACCTATATATCAACTTAATCAAATTATAAAACAATTTAATCAGGATATATATGATTGAGTTTTTTAGGTACGTAAGGTGTGTTACGTACTTAGCTTGGATCTAGAGAGAGCAAGTATAACCAGGAGGCGGTGTCTTCCCACAAGTAACAAGGAGCTGAAGAGCAAGCGGGACGTAGATGTTGAGGTTAAGAGCTTTGATTTTGAGAGTGGTGCACAAGCAGACTGCAGCTTCAAGTTCAACAAGTCCTTTAAGAACTGGGCAGCACTGGTTCACAACTGGATCACCAAGGCCAACGTGCACTAACCCACCAAGAAGATCCACACAAGCACCAAGTTTTAGTGTATCGATAGGGCATGTGTCCTTGGATGAAGGAGGCGGTGGGCATGGCTTTCCCTTTGGTGGATTTGTAATCACTGGAGGAACTGTCACAGGAGGAACTGGCAGCACTGGAGGAATTGGCAGAGGAGGGAGTGTCACAGGAGGAACTGGCAGCACTGGAGGAATTGGCAGAGGAGGGAGTGTCACTGGTGGCTTAACAATCGGAGGAACTGGCAGTGGAGGGAGAGTGACAGGTGGTTTCACAATAGGATGAAGAGTGACTGGTGGCTTAACAGTAGGAGGGAGTGTAACTGAACCTTTAGTAGGCTTACGGTGTTTGTTCTTTGGTTTGCCACAAGAATGACATCCAAGAATTGAGGTGGCTGAAGAAATAAAGATCATGCAAATGAAGAGGAGAGCTGAAATTTTGGTAGAATCCATGTTTACTCTCTTAATTCGAGTTAGAAAGAAGAGAGAAACGCAATCAGAGTGGTAGAGTTTGTGAAGAGAAGTGTTGTTATATAGGATCGAATAGTGATGGATGCAAGAAAACAATAACCCTAGAAGCAGAATCACGTGAACATGGGGCTTATGGCTCGAAAGGCAGCTGCCAAATTTTGCTAGTTGGCAGCTACCTTACAAATGCATGGAACCATTATGAATTTATATTCCTGCTGTAATTACTGCTCACTTGTCTTTCACCTGTGTGATTGTGGTAGTCAATTCCACATGGGAATAGATGAAAGAAAATTACTTCCTATTCCTAGCTAGTAGCTACTTGTGGTGCTTTTTTAAAAATAAACTAATTGAAAATATATTAATTAAAATAGTTTCTTCCAGATTTTTTTTATTTTTGACATTAATATATTAAAAATATATTAAAAAAACCCTAAAAAACAAACACTCTACCTCCAATCAAGATTCTTAATTAAAAAAATTATTTTCAAAATAAAAAACTAACAAGATAGTGAACTAGATCATTACTTGGATCATGTTGCATGTTGGATTAAATTCTTTAATAAAAAAATACTCAAATTTTGTTAACATGTTTTCTAGCAAAAAAAAAAAAAAAACTAGATAGGAAATTGATTTGATGTGACTTGATTGATTTGATAAATTCAAAGACAACCTCAAAGGCCAATAAAAATGTAATTTGACAACATCTTTGTTTAAATATTAAAACAAAAATATATTAAATCAATTCAAATCAACTTGAGTTAACTTGTCAAATTCGGAACCCTGGTCATAAGATATTGATAACCTCATAGAAAGAAAATATTTTTTTAAAACTCAATTCTCAACCAGCCTAATATTAAATAATAAAATTGAAAACAAAATTCAACTAAAAAAATAAGTTGAGTCAACTCGGGTTAACTTATTAAATAGGAGTCATAAAACCAGGATAACCCTTTAGAAAGTAAATTAAAATAAATTATGAAACTCAATTTCCAATCAACTTAATATTAAATAGTAAAATTAAAAAAGGATACAAAAAACCACATAAATCAACTAACTAAACTCGTGACCCGGATCATGAGAATGCAATAACATCATAGAATACAAACTTAAACAAATTATAAAGTTTAATTTCAAATTAATTTAATATTGAATGATAAAATTAAAAATAATCAACTAAAAAAAGATAGAAAGAACCCAAGTCAACCAGCCTAATTCGCAATTCGAGTAATAAAATCATAATAACCTTATAGAAAAAAAAATATAAATCCCAATTTCTAGTCAATCTAATTTTAAAGGATTAGATTGAAGAAAAAAAGAACAGAAAATGACAAAAGTCAACCGCAGGTTAATCTACTAAACCCAGGTCAGAATATCAGAATAATTTTATAAAAAGTGAATCCAAAAAAATTACAAAGTTCGATTTTCAATCAATCAAATATTAAAGAATGAAATTTTAAAATAAATTAAAAAGAAGTCAACATGAGTACTAACTCGTAAAACTTATAACCTGAATTATGATATTAAAATAATTTTATAAAAATAAAATTAAAATAAATTATAAATCTCTAGACTCAGCAAACCCAATATTAGATGATGAAATTAAAAAAAATTAACTTTAAAATTAAAAACAATTCTAAATTTTTGTTAGTACGACCAAAGTAAAAGTAAAAAGGGATTTTAGTAAATGTTAATGATCAGATTTGGAGACAAATGCCTTTCCAATGACACAATGGCCATGTAAATCAGGCCTTCTAAGATTAATCATTGCATCACACTCAAGAATTTCTAATTCCATCCTCTGATTTTGAGGATCAAGAGCTATAATTTACCCTTAAAGTTTCGAGTGATAGGTAATTAATGAAATGGACCTAGGTCCTACCATGAAGCTTCATATATATATATATATATCAGAGGACCAAATTAGCTAATATACAAGATACAGTTGTGATCTTGATTGAGAAAATTCATCTCCCCAGCCCCAATTATCACTATAAATATTTTAAAAGATTAATCATCTTGCTCATTCCTTTAGCACACAATCCAAACGCTTTGATAGAGTTGCATACCCTCGATTATTTCTCAATTTTATTACCAGAACTGGAAAAGAGACCTATCAATCTAATGGATTTTGTAAGAAAATGACTACTCGTCATTCTGTGAAAAGAAAAGTACGTAGGTAGAAATTAACCATTGTAATGGCTTTCAAATGGGGGCTACTTACATGTGCTTGCAAAATCACCAGACCCTACATGACGCTGAAAGCATTACAAAAGCAACAAATTTCTTTCATGCTCTTAGGTTTTAATTTCCTTTTCTCTTTGTAACATTGAGTGAGGCGAGGGAGTACTGGTGGCATATGAAGACAGATTTTGATGCACTGAAGACATCTGTACGTAGTAGTCATATGCGAGTTTACTTCGAGGTGATTCCAGGCAATCACATGCTATAAATAAATGCGTATATTTATATTATATTAATTAGGCATCTGATTTATTGTAGCAAAGTTTTTGCACGTGCGAGGAGATTATATGGATTCAAATATTTTTTATAGAATAATAAACTTAAAAAAATACTCTATTATAAAAGAAATCACTTTCGCTTCTCCCTTGATAAAAAAAAAAGGGGGAGAAAATCACTTCTTCTTTTATCTCTCTTTCACACACACTTGTTACTCTTAAAAGCACTGTTTTCCTGTTAATTTTAGAGCATTAATTTCGGAGTGTGTGTGTGTGTGTGTGTTGAGAATAGGTTCTCCTACCCTTATACATATGATCAATTACTCAAAATACATTTTTTTATTCCTTAATTTTAGAATTTTAATATTGCATGCCGAATCTTTAAGCATGCGTGTGGATGTGTTTGATCATATAGATTATTTTTAGTCATTTTGGGTTTTCTTTTATTTTTTTTCCTTTTTGGGATACAATTATTAGCAAAAGAATTGTGTTTTTTTTTTAAGAAAAATAAAGAAAATCCTAAACCCAAGCTATAATTTTTTTTGGGTTTTTTCTAAAAAAAATAAATAACCATCAAGATTTTCAAGAACTAAAAACATGCAACAATTTAGTTGAGGTTCTGCAGAGTAATTTAGGTGAAGATCGAGTTTGATTTTGGGTTTCGGATAATTCAATTAAACACAAGAAAAAAAGATTAAAAAAATTGGAACTAATTAAATACATATTCTTACTTTAATTAGCATCACATTCATGCTAAATCGATGCTTCACTAAACTTTCCATTACATTCACGAGAAACATCTGGCTTTCCCCATGATCTCCTGGGCAATAGCTTGAAACTTAAATGGAAAGTCTACAGCTTCTTTTGTCCATTATATATCTGAAATCGATGTATATATGATGAAACCAATTATTGATTCAGTCCAAAATCCTACGGCAGCATATATTTCTATTTTTTTGACACAAATCAATCAAGATGCGTGCCCCAGAATGAATTGCTAGATAGACAGATGCATGAGAAAGCCACAGCAAGGCAAGCATGTCTTCCTCGGTTAAAATCAGTTTGGTCACAAACAGAAAGGAAAAGAGAGAACATTGACACACAAATTCAAGAGAGAGAGAGGGACATGGGGTGTCATATGAACTATTGCCTCCTGTATCCTTTTGTGAATGCTTGGCCATGGTTGTCTTTTGAGAGGCTGGAATCTTTTGTAATCTTGTGGATCCGTGACTCTACTTTACTCACTTTTATATGTGATTGGTCTTTTCTCTGCAATTTCTCTTGTTATTACCATATAATTGTACTTCTCTTTGAAGGGCTAAATTAAATTAATAATAAGAAATGGAGAGGGGAAAAGGAGAAAAAGAAGAAACCCTACTTGAAGCTGTTGCCAGTGATGTAAATACGGCACATATGATGCTTAATCTACTGTCTCAACTGTAGACGTCTATATATCTAAAGATGTTTTTAGTCATTAAGAGTCTGTTTAATATGATTTTTTTTAAATTGATTTGAGTTGTGTTTTTAAACTGTAATTCAAGGAAAAAAAATCATAAATATGTATAATTAAAAATAAATTTTAACTTGGATATAAAAACTATGTACTTCTCAATTTGACTAAAAACATTTTGGGGTTTTGACTTTCGTGTCCTAACCGCTTTCTTTTTTAAATTCTGATATTATTTTATTCTCTCCCTATTTTGCGTTCACTTATATTTGAACCACATATATATATATATATATATATATATATAATTCATATTTAATTTATTCATAATATTTCCAAATATTCTTACCAAACATAATCAACACTTCATTCCTTAATATTATTTGTACCCATAACGCTTTACTTTTACATTTTAGTTATTCCCTTAACATGTCTTCTATGAAATCCTAACAATGCATCAAATGCAATCTTATGTTTTAATTAAACACATATTTTTAGCAATTTATAACTTAAAGAATATTTTACACCCTTAACACTTCGTCTTGAAGTCTTGCTCCTCTTAATATATCTTCTTAAAATCAAATTTGACGTTGTAAGAGTAAAAAAATTAAAAGAGTTTTGATTAATCAAAATATTTATTAGTGGCTCCGGGGCCAAAATGAAGGACTGCTGGCCTGACCGGAGAAAAGAGGGGGAGGCAGGGAATTTTTCAAGATAAAATCTTTCACAGAACAGTGAACACATGCAGATATCACCTATGAAATCTTCTTAACCACACCAAATTTCTAGATTTCCAGTACAAAAATCAGACAAAGGAACCTATTTATTAGACATTGTCTTGTGTGATGTCTCTCCATGCAACGACTAACGATGGCTACAAAACCCAACCCAAAGGCTCAGATCTTCTCCTGGAAACGAATGGTTCGCAGTGTATAGACAGTTCTCTGTGCCTATATGAGATTTGTCTGGTTGCTGTGGTTTAAGTATTGTTCAGGATCATATGGAATATAAAGCCACGGCCATGGCTTGTTTGAGGTCAAGAAAAGAATCTAACCAGGATAAAAACAATCAATTCATGAACATATGAACCATTCGGTTGACGGTGGATAAGGGGATTTTATTTTTATCCTCATCCCTGACTTTTCTTTTATTTTTTAGAAGTAAAAGCCTAAATAGATGTTTGTCAAGTAAAATAAATACTTTTGTATGGTTAAATCCAGAGAATTTCTATAATCTCCTGACCAGGTTAACCTTAACTTGAGTTTCAAATTAAATTATATAAAAATTGTTATTATATGACCCGATAAATTTGATGGGTTAAAAAAACTCGAATAACTGATAAAAACTTAATTTGAATCTTTTTAACTTAATTATATGATAAAAATAGACTCTCGCAAAGCCAAACATCAACTTATTACTAGGAATTTGTTTTAGATAACAATAAACTCGTAAAAATTAAAATAAATTATCAAGTCTAATTTCTAATAATTATATTTTTTTGGAATAATTTTTAATTTAATAATATAATAAAAAATAGATACTAAAAAATTTGAGCATCAACTTAATGTTGATATATTTTTCTAAAATTGTGATAACTTCATAAAAAGTAAATCAAAATAAATCATGAAGATAAATTCATGATAAATAAAAAATTTAAATTTAAAACAAACCTAATATTAAAAAATATAAAAAAACACATTACTATTCTAATGAAAAATAATGTGCGGGGAGGCCTCCTTTTTCGGTATATGTTAATAAAAAAAGGTGATGAATTTTTATTATATTTTTTAATTAATTTGTACATATTTAATTAAAATAAAGATGATAGTATATTAGAATTATTTTGTATGTATTTAATTAAAAAAAATCTTCAATTAGTTAAAAAATAAGATAAAATTCAGTTTTATATCAAAACTATATAGTTTATAATTAAAACAAAAAAAAATTTCCTTGACTAGAGGCAGCAATTGAGCCTAACCTAATGACCAGCAAACACAATTTCTTAATCGAGATATCGATAGGAATACTTAATACAAGGTTTATTATTAACTTGTTCATCTATTTTAATTAAATGATATATTTTAAGTTGTGAATATTTACCTACATAAATACTTACAAACACACACATATTTATTATTAACTTGTAATATTTCTTGAAGCATGATTTTTTCTTTCATATATAAAACTTATTTATCAAATATATTTTGAATTAAGAAATCATTAGGCAATACTTTGGGCTTAATTGTCACATCCACCCATTAATGGGCCAGACCTCTTTCATGCCCACCAAACCCAGTCCAACCAAATTCAGCCCAACATCATGTCGTTTATTTAAAGCCTAAAATTCTCTCCATTTCATATTTCGACTCCACCCTGTCTCTTCATGCCACAAAAGGACCTGCGCAACTAAATTTATCCCATTGAAAACGCCAATAAAAATTCCAAATCCCATCTCCATTACCACCCTTTAGAACCTTGTAGCCATTAACACAAAAAAAAAAAAAAAAATCTCTCTTGCCCTTCTCTTTCGGGGTTGGGCAAGAGATCATAAGGAATAATATCACAATGGGAATATTGTATGGCATGGTGGCTAGAGGTCTTGTGGTCTTGGCAGAATTTAGCAGCGTTGCACAAACAAATGCAAACACCGTAGCAAGGCAGATTCTTGATAAAATCCCTCGCGGAAATGAAGATAGTAATTCGTCGTATTCTCATGATCGTTACATTTTTCACGTTAAAAAAACCGATGACCTTACCGTTCTTTGCATGGCTGATGATGCCACCGGACGTAAGTAAGCTTTGTCAGGATTTAATTGATTTAGATGAATGCCTTAATCAATCCATTCGTGTTTAATACATGTTAAGTTGCTGCGTTATTTTTGTATTAAACAGGTTCTTGCCGTGTAAAATTTGTAGATTTTTTTTTTGTCAATTGTAAGGTGTAATGATCACTTGAAATTTTGTGCAGGGAGAATCCCATTTGAATTTCTCGAGGATATTCATCAAAGATTTGTGAAGACTTACGGCCGTGCAATTCACACATCTGCTCCCTATGCCATGAATGAAGAGTTTTCCAGGATCATGAGCCAACAGATGGACCATTTTTCAAATGATCCGAATGCGGATCGATTGAACCGCTTACAGGGTGAAATGAGTCATGTAAGCCTGATTGCATTTCTCAGTCAATGGTTTTTGATCAATTTGAGAAATCATATGTATGTTGCCCTTAACACATTGCTGAGCTCGGGATGGGATATTATCTTCAGGTAAGGAGTGTCATGATCGACAATATTGACAAAGTGTTGCAGAGGGGAGATCGGCTGGCGCTGCTAGTTGAAAAAACTTCCACATTGCAAGGAAATACAATTCGCTTTCGGCGACAGACTCAGCGTTTCAGAAATACACAGTGGTGGAGAAATTTCAAGCTCAAGTAAGTTAATCAGCTAGATGAAAACATGAATGTTCTTGCATAATTGGACTTGCTCATGAAAATAGACTTTGTACTCGCTTCGGAAGCGCATTTGTTGACCATGTTGTGTTTAAGAAGGAATGGAATTTGCATAAGGACAACCTGGGTTTCACACTGGATTCAAGTTATCTGCAGATTACTAGTTCTCATGGTAGACAAATGGAGGACATGTTTTCTCTGTCTCGAGATTACAAAACTCTATGTCTTGTTTTATCATCTACGTAAATTCAAGATAACTCTGGTACATACCATCCATGTGGGATTAGAACAACGCCCTGCTTCCTTCAAAACGTTTCACGCTTTACCAAATTATGACAATGTCCTTGGTAACTAGACCTTACTGTGGCATTGGTCCACTTACAAACATCTGCTTCATTCATTTTTATCGAAGGTATAATATACATGTAAGCACTTTTGCCTGAATTATGTGCTATCGGAAGCATGAAAGAGCTGTGCTATTTTCATTTTGTCTTGCAGGGCTACATTGATACTATTTCTCTTGATTTTCATTTATACTGTACTCGCATTGCTTTGTCGTGGTCCTTCACTTCATTCCTGCTTGAAGTAAAAACGCACAAGATCAGCTGCTGCTGCTGCTGCTGGATGGTTTATTATTACATATTCATGGGTTTGTCCTACTTTTTTCACTTTGTAATTATTTTCAAATGAAATTCAGTGTTGTAATTTTCAAGCAATCCTCAGGAGATTCAAATCTCTTGTACATGTACAAAGGATTCATAAGAAATCCTGACACGTAAGTAAGCATGCATGTACTCTGTTCCAGCATTTTAACGCAGGGAGTTGAGCTGAAATGATCAATCATTGTAGCTCTTCTATCCATGGCTAATTATAATGGTTTTGCTAGACAACCAAGGAAATTCAATCTTTTTCTTGAATACAAATTCAAAATAATAACATGATGAAAAATCAACAAATGTGTCGATATTATTCATATCAAACTCATTTATAAACTTCATTTCAACTTATAATCACATTAATTAGATCAGGAGGATTCATCCGTATTTCTTAAACAATTTTTTTTGTCAAAGCCCATTTTTTCTTGCAACGGGCCGGCCTTGGAGAGGATGATCTGGGAACTAGTATTGGACCCAAGCACAAGGCCTTTATAAGTGTGTGTCTCTAGCGCCCAGCTCCTTGCACCTACCCTGCACCCTGCGTCCTAGGCACCACTTTTGAGCCCAGGCGGTTGGCTTGTGCTTGATGCTTGTGGGCTGGGGCAGCTCGCCTGAACCCAGGCATTAGGCATTTGCCAGTGCTCACGGGCCCAGTTATAAAATACATGCTTCGGCCTTACTTTATGGTCCAGACCCAACATTTATTTGCTTAATGATTTTTTATCGAGCCCAATGTTTTTTTTTTGCTGGGATTTTACTCAATGTGCACCTTTCTCTTATTAGCTACACATTTTTATCTCATTAATATTTATATAAAACATATTTATATTTTATTAATATATGTATAAAAAATATTTATTTTTTATTAATATTATATAAAAAAAATAATTCTTCAACTCTTCCATTCAAACAAAATAACAAGATTTATAAATTGTAAATATCCTTTAAACTATTTAGATGAAAAGTTTATAATTTTTTCATTCTTTATGTATTATTTACAGAGTTTTTTTATTTAAAATATTATAGTATTATCTTTTTATAAATATATTTATTTGAGCTTTTGAGAATTCTTTAATTTATTAAAAAGAATCGTTTACAAGTATTTGACATAAAGCTATAAAGCCACTTATTCATCCTAGCTAAGGAAAATGGATGAAATTACAAGAATTAAGTCTAATTATCCAACTAAAAAAACTTTGTTTTCAGGCTCTTTGGATTTTAGAATATCATTAATTATTTAATTTATTTCTGTAAATTTATATGTTGATTCATTTTTATTAAAAAAATAAAAAAATCAAATCAAACAATAATAAAAAATATTATGGTGCTGATGGAGTTATTAGTGTAGCATACTATTAATCACTTTCTAGGCTCAATTTGAATAAAGAAACATATAAAATAAAATAAAATAAAATTTATGATTCATTGAAAGTGATAAAAACATCTTTAATTATGACTTATCTCTCTTAATTGTTTGTATTTCTGTATTTATATTTTATAAGCGAGTTTAGGAAAATAACTAATAGAATGTTACTTCTTTAAGCACTATAAAACTACTCAACAATAATTTCAATCCAAATTCAGAACTTTCATGACTAAAAGAAAATCCAAAGCATCATTGAGCAGGCAAGAAATTATAGTTATAAGATTCAATTCGAGAGTTAAGCTTATACGTGTATTATCATCATATTAATCCAAGCTATATATTTAAAAAAAATTAAAAACAAAAAAATAGAAAAAAAAGACATAGTTCTTTCAAAGTGTTGGTTTAAAGACTGGACAGTTCTTTCAAAGTGTTGGTTTAAAGACTGGTATGAAGTAAATTATGGCCGGTCCATGCTCTAAATCAACAAGATACCGAATTGACCCGCGAGTCGGGCGAGCAGGTTTTATAACACTGGAAGAAACGCCATCGTCTAGCTGAGAGCCTAAAAGAGAGGAAATGTCCGCAACTCTAGCAGCATATCCCTTACGAAAGGCGACGTGTCGGTTCCATGGCAGAATATCTTGAATACACACATGACACGTTTTAGACTCCAGTTGGTTAGATTGAGCTGACCGCACCAGCACCAACGATCCTCCTCCTCCTCCGCCTCTTATCCACTGACTGACAAAGCCTAATAATTTAAAAATAATAAATAAAGCTCCCAACAGTAATCCTAAATTGTATGGCACTGTCTCAGACTACCGATTTCAATACTTGAGGAGGTAAACACTTCTAAACCATAATTTAGAAAGAAAAAAAAAGAAGAAGCAATTTCTACGTGCTTTTTTAATGTATAAGTATAAAATATTTTTTTTATTAATTAATTTATGTTTACACTTCTAAATTGTGATTTTTGTTTATATTAATTTTATTTTTTGATTTATTTAGGGATTTATGTTTGATCGGGCATTGATTGAGTTTGTTGTTTTGGATTAGGTTTTTGTAATGGCGAGATGTCAGAGTTTTCAAGGTTGTTAGGGATTTTTTTTTCTTTTTAAGTTAAGGGTTACTGAGGGTTGAGGTTGGGATAAGGTCTCCTTTTTGAAGGGTTTTTGAACACTTGTGTGAAGAAGAGAAAAATGTTGCAGCCTGTCGAATTTGAAGGGAATAATGATAATAATGTGACTGGCTTGTTGAGAAAGAGAAAGCTGGAGCGTGGCACAGGATGTATCGAAAACAATAGGCCATTTCAGCGTAATGTTCGATGTGCTGGTGGCGGCTCTTTGGCTGGTGGCTGCCAAGATAATTTTGGAGAAAGGAATCGGGTTCATGGGGATGGGGATGTGACAACTGGGAAGGAAACAGGAGTGGTTGTTGGAAAATCAGGACATTCTTTGGTGGATATGAGTCCTAAAACCGGTGATAGTTATGTTAATGTCGTGGTTGAAGGTCCTCGGAGAAATGGATCACCGGTTGATGAAATTAAGTCACGTGTTGGGAAGTTAGCTTCAATAGTTGCTGAGAAGCTCTGGGATGGATCCCTTCAGTTAAATTCCTCTGTAACTGTGTCCCTTGTTGCCTTCTTTCAAAGGTTTTCTTCACTACTTACTATAATTCTACTACGGATTGTTCAATTAGTTGGTCAGTTTTTTCCATGAAGATGAATTTTAATTTTTTTTTTTGCACGCACCATTTTGTATTTTGTAATGAATCGTGTCTGTGCATGTATTCTATGTGCCATCTTTGTTTGTTGTTTCCCAGTTGTAAGGATTACAATGCTTCACACCGCCAAAACCACTCGTCCCAAAACCCCTGACATAAAGGCATAGAGGTGATGAATGCCATTACCATGTGCTTTATACACATCACTACATTCTGCTATTTCATATCAGCTTTAGTAGCAATAATTGCAATCACATTTGGACATTCAATCTCCATAGTGATTTGTAACTCCATATTCCAAGCTTCCATGCAATGAAACAGAAAACTCGTGAGAAAAAAAAAGAAATTTCCACTGTGCTCTTGACTGCTCATTGATTTTACTACAGCTGTTCTTTAGCGAGGTGCTTTGTTTAGAAAAAAAATACACTCCTATGCCATTAGAAATATCCCTTCTATAGTCTTCAGAAGGGAAGGAAGAAACAGACAAGAGAGAGAGAGAGGGAGAGAGACACTGACCTTTAGCAATGTTTCCACTCTGAACCCTTTTTCTTTTTAACATACATTGACGCTGATTGTTTTTCCTCACTATCAATTCCTATCTAATCTTTACTGACCATTTCAAACTTCATACTGGCAGCTTGTTTTCTTCCCACTTTATAAACTTGGTATCAAAGTAAGACAGTGCTTTCATTATTTAGTACTTCTTTTCAACCTAATTTTGTGTAGAATCTTATCAGTTGCTTGGGCACTCACACTCTAAATATGTGAAGGACAGAATTGTGAAAAATCCTTGTTGTTCACCTCCACCATAATGATTTTCTTATGTAGTGGTGAGAAGATGCCTGATCTCAAGTGGTCTGAATTTCTAGAAGTCAAAGGCAAAGTTAGACTAGAGGCATTTGAAAAATATGTTCAAGATCTTCCTCGATCACGCAATCGAGGGTTGATGGTAAGATACCATTTTCTCTACATGTCATTATTGAATAGACAACTAGATTTTACAACTTTATTAACTATTCTGCTTATATAAGTGATGTTTTAAGTGAATATCTACATGGCATGATTACAAGTGGCCTTATAGAGGGTTTCATTTACCTAGTTGATTAAAGTCTTTTTAGTGCTTGCTATCTGTTATTTTGGAAGAATAATTGCACAAGTTGAGCCGTTTCATAATGGTGGGAAATAATTTCTAATGCCATAAGTTTTAGTCTTTATTTGAGTATCATCTTAGGTTGCTTTTTTCTTGATAATGTTATAGGAAGAAAAGAAAACCTGGAAATGCTGGAGATGATGCATTTGGTTGTGAAAATATTTAACAAGCAAAATGAAAAGTCTAAACAAGGAAAACCATAAAATAACTATATGAGCTGTGTTATACATAAAAAACAGAAAGAGAGTGAAGCTACGTAAGCTATGTGAACGGAGAAGAAAACATGAAAGAACCTTTTTCCTCTGCTTCTCAAAATAAGCTAGTCAGTTCATATCAAACTCCACCAGCATGCCTCTTTTCATATATTTATTTATTTTTTGTCTTCCAGCATGTTGCCTCTCTGATAAGATGTCCGGACCATTTCAAGTCCTTCAATTTTATTCTTGTCATGTAACTGATCCATGCATGACAATTATACTTTGAACACTCTTCCCTGTGCATTTTCCTTTATGCTTCTAGTTGAGTAATACCTTGAACTTGACTTGTAGGAACTTTGGTACTGCCTTGCAACACTTGAACTCAATTTTCTTTTTCATTTGCTAGTTCTCCTGGTTCTTTTCTTGCGAGGACTTCATGTCTGGTCCTATACACCACACTAGCCATGGTTTCTTTTCATTTTTTTGGAAAAAAGTAAAACAAGATCTTAAGT